TACTACAACACTGTATTCTGCTATTCACTGGTATCACTAGATTATATGCGAGTACACTAGCAGGCCAGGAAGATTATTAAAACAGCTGACCTGTGGTAAGATTCTGGCGACTTCTGGCACCTGCCTCTATAGGCTTATCACTTCATTTACAAATTCACCTGTTTTCAAATGACACTTTAGCCTTTATCATCAATATACTAGGGAGCCACTGTAGTATACACTATACACTATGTATACTCAATGTTATCAGGGAGACTTTCTTTCCTCTGACACGAAAAGTTCAATTATTATTATTTTTTTCACACGGGACACAGGCCTATGATTCCCCTCTGGCAGTAAACTCTGCTAGGTAGTGCACACTAATTCTCCTTTTTTGACTCAGTATATAATGTTTTCCGCCCAAGATTGGTTCCAGGCGCTAGAGGGATGTATCGTATAGGATTGATGACACAAATTAAAGTTCTAGCACGTAAGAACGACCGTGAAAACACCAACTTAAATAACGTGGAGTACAATTTTGCCATCTTCACTGGCCACCTGGCTTGGGAACTTCAACATTGGTATATACATAATCACCCATTAATTCTTTCCACCTGTTAACTCCTCAGGTAGGGCTCCATCCAAAGCACACTCAAGCCTCCATGCTTTTGGTATTAACAATTTCCCTCTTATTGTAAGGTGTGACACTAAGCCTATGCTCTCTGGGTTAATTTATTGGGCATACTGGAATTATGAGACCTTAACAATAGCAAGTCTGTGTCCCAAGTCAGTCCCAGCACATTACTGCATATAGGCACTTCAACTCCAGGGCTATCCATATTTATTGATCCCTCGAAATGGACTAATTACTGTTCCATTCCCTCAGGGGCATCCTTGCACCTTGCATTATTTCATTAACCCCTTCATATATACTCATTAGTTCCTCTTCAGTTGACGTCACACTCAGGAAATTGTCCACATAAGATTATTTACCCAATTACTTCGCTCAGTGGACCACCTGTGCACTTAAGGTGTGCATTTATCGTCGCCTGAAGTAGGAACAATTTATTATTTAACTGTTTATTAATTATATCATTATAAGCAGTCATCAGATCTGGTGTCTTGCTCAGTTCACAGAGCTGGGCCCTTTAACTGTCCATATGCCATCCTATAATTAGTAGGTAATTCTGGACGGTTGAGCTTCCATGGAAGTCGTACCCAGTAATGTCCAGATTCACATTTAACATCCTTCAGGTATTGTTCCTGAGTAAAGGAATCGTCTGGACTTTCCTCATTTATATTAATCCCTATGCTGTCCAGCTCCCACAAATTAGACTGGTTCAACATCATCCTCGATAGAAGAATATTTGTACTGGGTTGACCTTTTATGAGTAAGACACCGCGACTGTATTTACTACTTCCTCTAGTCATTATTACTACGCGATAGTCTGCCATATATTACATGGCCCGTACCAGTGTTGAGGAGAGTGACGCCGCATGGTTTTGGATTTATGCCCTTTATCCTGAATTATTACATCCAACACCGGCAAGGCTACCTCAGCTAGGCCATCATTATTGCCATTAGCTGTAACCTTTACATCAGTCACTGTAGTGCCAGGGTTATTAACATTATCATTACTGTCACCATTATTATAAGAATTACATACAACCCTGCACATAACTGTATGGTGCCTTCCCTTGTTGCATTGATAGCAACTGTTCAATTTGGTATGACAATCCTTTACATTATGATTGTCTAGACATCTGATAAATCTGCCAAATTCTTTCATTCTTTCCACTTTAATATCCCATGAATTATAGGCATTACAATTTTTAGTGAAATGAGTACCCTTGCAGAAGAGTCTCTTTCCTTGCCTGACCTCTTATTAACTGGGTTACCCTTACTGATGTACTTATTCCTCTTACCTTGATGTGAGGAACCACTATTACTGATTCCTGTCACTTGATATGTGCCTATTTAACTCTTAATTATGATTATTACCACTGGGATTATTTTTCCCTTTTGAGACTTAACAGATACTTCAGAGTCATTATGTGTTATATCCTTAGAACTGTTTGACTGACTGGTCTGCAATTGAACAATTAATTCTTGCCGACCTAGTCTGATTTCCTTCAGACCGTACTCTGGAGGTTTTGGCAAACACACCCTTTGCATTAATATGTTGATTAACTGTCTGGCTTACGCCCTTTAATTTATTCAAAGCCTTACTTTTACAAACCATACCCCCGGCCGGGATTGAACCCGCGGTCATAGTCTCAAAACTCCAGCCCGTCGCGTTAGCCACTAGACCAGCTAGCCACAATAAGATTCATCCAACTAGGTATATTTCTACACCATAGGAAGGTTAGCACAGGCACCTCTGTGACCACAAATGCAAGTTTTTACAGACGAATCTCCAGCTAGCGTGACCGTGACGAACTTTAGCTCAAGTCCCTTCAATGCCGTCAACATGACTCAAGAAATCGTAATGACACGATTGCAAACAAACCATACCCCCGGCCGGGATTGAACCCGCGGTCATAGTCTCAAAACTCCAGCCCATCGCGTTAGCCACTAGACCAGCTAGCCACAATAAGATTCATCCAACTAGGTATATTTCTACACCATAGGAAGATTAGCACAGTCATGTTGACGGCAGTGAAGGGACTTGAGATAGAGTTCGTCACGGCCACGCTAGCTGGAGATTCGTCTGTAAAAACTTGCATTTGTGTTCACAGTGGTGCCTGTGCTAACCTTCCTATGGTGTAGAAATATACCTAGTTGGATGAATCTTATTGTGGCTAGCTGGTCTAGTGGCTAACGCGACGGGCTGGAGTTTTGAGACTCTCTGACCGCGGGTTCAATCCCGGCCGGGGGTATGGTTTGTTTGCAATCGTGTCATTACGATTTCTTGAGTCACTTACTTTTACAAGAGTTTTTCTTCCACTTCGTAATGCTGATTAATTAAAACATTCATTTCCATTCCATCTGCACAATTCTCCAGCAGATCTCTTTCACAGTCTTTAAACCACAATTTGTACCACTCAAATCTACTCTCTAAAACATCTAAATATAACTTTAATTCATTAGGGTTCACGGTTTCTTGATTCATTAAAACCAAGCACTTGTATGCCTTCGTCACATGGCCTTTAATAGCCTGTAATGATGCTTTCATTACTCTAAAATCCACAGACTTGTCAGCCACATTAACTCCATCAGATCCAGTCATGGTTAGAGAATTATTAATCACTGATTATACAACTTAAGTAGGCGCCTTATAAGAGTAATTCTTGCACTTTACTCTTGTATAAATCCTAGCCACACATGTGCTAACAATTAATTAGGCTAATTATCATCCACACGATCGATTAAATTTGTGTACCCTATACCCACTTCCTTCAATCAGTCACTTAATTATTAAGTAATTAATTCAATTAATTTTTTCACTGATTGCATCCGGTACAAAGGGCCAGCAGGCAGATATGGAAAATTTTATAGGGGGTTACCTGTATGTACCTCAACATTATATGCATACAAGTAATCTCATTGGGAGACGACAGCCATATTGTTTACCGTAGTCACCCCGTGTAGACATGTGAGAAAACTTAATCACCCCTGGTCCCTCCGGGTGGTCCCTTCGACCCTCGCAATCTTATCCATATCTATCCGAGACCAGTATAAATGGGATAGCACCCACAAGTACGGCGCTACTAATTAATTGTGGACTGTATAGATTATATTAGCTTACCTGAATGAAGGGGGGGGGGGTAGGTTACACATGGATATATCCATCAAGGAAAAACACTTGTACATAATCCCACCACTTACCAGATATTCTCTGGTGGTCACTTGATGTAGCTGGATCACCCATAATCTACCCAATTACAACATACCTAACTGGCCAGTATCAGTCTGCTATAACTAGAAGGGTTACTTAACTGTGGGTGATTGATACTCCTTATTTCCTCCATTCACCATCTCATTTCGATGTCCTGCTACACCGACACGGTTCTTATTCCAGCAGGACGAGGTATTCGTTGGTTTGTCCCGGTTTACAAGTCGTGACTCCATAAAAACTTCACTATCCTTGGGACGGGAACCACGAGGACTAACGTGTTCACTCGGAGCAGGGCGACTTATTTCACTTCACTCTCTTAACTTAGTGTTATTAACACTGATTACATTACAATTCACAAGACGATTTAATGTCTCATAATTATTATACACATTAGAGGTCACTCCACTAAGATCTGAGACCGATGAGTGAAGATTAAATCACTGGTATTTTCCCCTGGACACACTCCATGGTGGTGCACCAGTCACCGCCGGTCCCACCATTATTCACTAATTTTACCACTTATTATAGCAGTGCCGTCAATCACGTTCCCTCACTCTTCACCAGGGGCAGTTACGACACTTCCTATTATGAAGGGAGGCCTATATTAATCTTTAGGCCGCCGTGAATGCCAATTTCCTGGTCCCATGTTTTCACAGCCTCTTAACCCCATTCAAAACACTCCCGCTCCTCCATGCCCTGTCTCGACCTGTCTCCCCACACATCCGCGCAGGCGCAGCGGGAACATTGTTGGTTTTATTCCATTTTCAAATACATTTTTGACCCAAAGCAACACATTAAACACCTATTAGGCACTACAGCTTCGGAAAATTAAAATATTTTCCACAAAATCCAAAAATTTAATCTTTACGACCAGATCAAATGTGGTCTTGAAGACTAGATCTACTTTGGTTTTAACAACCATGCTATGTGTGGTCTAGACACCTATGCCAAGTGTGGTCTTGATGATCAGGTCTAGCTTGGTCTTGACAACTACGTCAGGTGTGGTCTATACGACTAAAAGATCTAGATGTCCCTCAAGGATACCTTAGTAAGTAAGTTTATTCAGGTATACACAAATACAGTTACATAGAATTATCATGCATAGCATATGTGTAGAGAACCTAGGATAACCTAAAAAAAAAGTCAGGCAGAGTGACTTCCATTATCTACTTCACTACTCACTAGTCTGGACTGTAGACGTGTACGTTCTGTATGAGGTCCTTGATGTGTTCGCCTGGGCGAGCCTCCATCTCCTCCAACACCAGTGCCACCACCAGTGCTAACACCAGCACTACTTTCACTGGAACAGTGGAACAATGGTCGCTTAGTTTATTAAGTTTAAACATATCGACTATATGAAGGTCATTATAATCGCGAGTTATTTGTAAAAAACTAACTAGTTAATGAAATTTAATTCTGAGGTATGTGTATTACAGGGATTTTTGACCTGCCCTGCACCTTACCACTGTACTTCGAAGAGCAGAGACCATTTGCTGAAGTATTGCATTCATTTATTAAACATTTTTAGGGTCATTTGACAAGTATCTCGGAGGGAACCCGAGCTATTCTACCATAAGCTGCAGGTGAGATGGGTTAGAACTCATTAAGAACCTGTGTTTAAAGTTGCAGCAGTGACTTGCAATAACTTCTCCAGCAAAAAGAATATCCTGGTAAGGGTACTAGTTATCAGCCTATGTAGTACAGTGGTAGAGAGCTCGACTGAAGATCCAAGTGCTGGAGTACCTGGGCCTGAGTCTCGCCATTCCAGTGGAGGACCTCCAAACTGTTTCACGAAATTGCATTCACTCCACTCTTCCGGCTCAGTCGTAGTAGCTCGTATGTAAGATACCTACAGTTGAATCATAATTTTGGACAAAAGCAATCACAGAAAAAGATTTCGTGCTTAAAGACTTTACTGAATTTACTTGAAAATATGCAGTCATTTAATAAATAACGCTCTAGTTACATCATGCCAGACACTAGCTATCCCTTATTAAAGCTGCTGAATCACATTACATACAGGACCCCAGGGAATTCTGGGTTTTTATTCGGAAGGTCACTGGAGTCTCAAAAACAACGCACTTCCAACACACAACCCATAACATAAACATTACAGACCCAGCACAAGCTGCACATGCTTTCAAAGACATATGGGAAAATATTTTTCACCCTCACCCTCCTGACCCAGCTGCACAACAACACACACAAGATATTGAACACTGGATCTCCACACACACACACACACACATCACCTGTCCTGACCTTATTATACAACTATCTTCTTTCACCTCCACTCACCACCTCAATACACCTTTTTCTCAGTAAAATCCTCAGTCTTGCATCTTTCCCCCATCATACCTCGCGCTTCTGGACTTTCTCACCATATTCTCCGCCACCTCCCAGACTCTGTTATCTCCACTCTTATCAGTCAATCAATCAAGTTTATTCTCTATAAGGATTACAATGCGGGGTTTACAGATTTTGGATATTGTGTGGTTTACATGTTTTAAAATACTAATTACAGAGGGGGCCACTAGGACACCTAGCATGGCTAGGCATTTCGGGCAGACTTAGATTAATTCTAAACTTTAAATTATTACAGATTATGGTATTAAGGCTAAGTGACTACATTATAGTTTGTGAGTTTTGCAATGTGAATGCTTTTGTTTTGGCACATTACATAGTGTCTATATTGGAGTATCATAGACAAACTTATGACTTGTTAGGATTCATTAATTTAAGATTAAGATTCGTATTTCTGTGTTTATAGTCAATGGGTGAGTGAAAGTGTGAACCACCAGGTGGTTTACATGTAGTTAGTTGACGGGGTGTATCAGGGAGATAAGATGTTTTCTAACAGTAGCTTTGAAAGTGATGAATGTGTATGCTGTTCTAAAGTCTTCAGGTAGGGTGCTCCAGATTTTAGGCCCTTTGACACATTGAATTTTTGTAAAGGTTTAGTCGGACACGGGGAATGTCATAGAGATGTTTGTGTCTGGTGTTATGTCTGTGGATCCTGTCACAACTATCAAGAAAGCGTTTTAGGTCAAGGCTAATATTGGAATTTAAGGTCCTGTAGATATAGATTGCACAGTAGTAAGTGTGGAAGTTCTGAACAGGGAGTAAGTTTAGATCTATGAAGAGTGGGCGGGGTGTTGCCAGGGATGGGATTTAGTGATTATTCTTACTGTGGCTTTTTGTTGAGTTATTATTGGCTTTAGGTGTGTTGCTGCAGTTGATCCCCAAGCACAAATAGAATAAGATAAATAGATAAATGAGTGAATGGTATAGTGTGAGAAGGGCAGTTTGCGACACATATCGTATCTTGGAGAGGATCCCCACTGTTTTGGATACTTTTTTTGTTATATGTTGGATATGGGTGCTGAAATTTAGGTTGTTGTTGAGGTATACACCTAGGAATTTGCCCTCATTATGTCTGGCAATTAGAGTGTTGTCGATCTTAATGTTAAGTTGCACAACACCTGCTCTGCTACTAAACATAATGTAGTAGGTTTTGTCAGTGTTAAGTGTAAGTTTATTGGCTGTCATCCAAGTCAGAATTTTGAGCAGCTCCTCGTTCACAGTGGTGATGAGGGTGGCAAGATTAGGGTGGGAGATGACGTGTAAGTCATGTTGTCAGCAAAGAGAATGGGTTTCAGGTGTTGGGATACGTTTGGAAGATCATTTATGTAAATGAGGAAGAGCAAGGGACCAAGGACACTTCCCTGCGGAACTCCAGTATCAAGTGGCCATGTTGATGAGGCTGTGTCTTTAATGATGACATACTGATACCTATTAGTAAGGCAGGATTTGAAATATACAAGCTCATGGTCTCTTATACCATAATGATCAAGTTCGTGGAGTAGGATGCCATGGTCTACTCTGCCAAATGCTTTTCTTAGGTCAATAAAAATTCCTAGCGGATATTCCTTATTTTCCAATGCTGTGTAAAGCAGATCTAGCATTTTTACAATTGCATCATTAGTGCTTTTATTTTTCCTGAATTCAAATTGGCAGGGGTTGAGTATGTTTTGTGCCGTTATAAATGAATACAGTCTCCTGTGCACGAGTTTCTCGAAGATTTTGGATAGCAATGGTGAGTTTGATATTGGCCTATAGTTGTTTACATCTGTAGGGTCACCTCCTTCATGTATTGGTGTAACCCTTGCTGTCTTGAGTAGTGTCAGGAAAGTGCTAGTTTCCAGTGACTTGTTAAAAAGTAATGTAATAGCATGCAAAAGGACATGGGCCGCTCGCTTGTACAATAATGGTGGGACATGAGACAGATTCCCTGAGTCATTTTTGAGTGACTTTATAATCGCGGTGACTTCCGTGGGCTCAGTTGGTGCAAGATAGAAGGAATTTAGAAAATTCCCATCTAGGTAGTCCCCGGCATGGGCGTTGGTACGTGGGATTTTACTGGCGAGATTAGATCCTATATTTGAGAAGAAGTCGTTTATCTTGTTAGCTGTATCAGTGGGATGCAGTGGTGTTTCAGTTAGGACAATATTCTTGTTTTTTTTCAGTTTGTGGGTCCCCAGAATCTGGGAAAGTGTTTCCCAGGTCTTTTTTATATATCCTCTTGTGTCAGTGAATCTGCTGTAGTAGTACAGTTGTTTGGCTTTCTTTATTAATTTGGTGAGAACTGATGAATATTGTTTAAGAATATCTTTGTGTATTAAGCCCTGTCTATATTGCTTTTCATATTGGTGTTTCTTATCAGTGGATTTCAGAATGCTGCTGGTTAGCCATGGGCAACCGACCCGTTTATTCGTGATCTGTTTCGTTTTTATAGGACAATGTTTGTTGTATAGTCTAAGTATTTTGTTAAGAAAAATGTCTGTCCAGTCGCCAATACCATTGGCATTGGAGAATTCTGTAGGCCAGTCAACAGTCTCTAGGTCTGCTGTGAAATTCCTTATTGAGGCCTCGTCATGGAGTCTAAATGAAACTTTGTTGTATTCGAGTGGTGGCTTACTAATGTTTGTTAAGAGGAAGGTTGGGTAGTGGTCAGTAGTGCTGTCTGTGATTATCCCTGATTTAAGGGGGGCTAGTATATTGGTCCATATGTGGTCTATTATGGCTGCACTTGTCTCAGTCATCCTGGTTGGTTTAGTTACTGTCGGTATGAGAAGTGTGTTGTCCATATTGTTGATAAAATCAGTTACAATCTGATAGAAGGTGGTGCTTGTTCATTTGTCTGTTTGTTATTAGTGCCTTGAGATTCTTACTGAAGTTTGGGATGTTTGTGTGGGGTATCCGGTAAATGGCACCGACTGTTAGAGGCGTCTTGAGGTTTTTTACAGTAAAATTAGCAAAAATGTATTCCCCATATTCATCACTAAAGCAAGTGGTGCTAATACAAGATAGTTGGTTAGAGTAATAGATTGCAGTACTACCCCCAACTTGGTTTGGACTGCAGTTGTGAATTGCTGTGTATCCTGGTAGACGGTAGATATCAATTGTGTCCTGCTTAAGCCAGGTCTCAGTAAGAATAATGCAGGAGAAGGGTGTCTTTAGTGACTCAAGGAGTGCCAGGAGGTCATCATAGTGTTTGCTTAAGGACCTGATGTTGTAGTTTAGAACTGATAGACTTTGAGCAGTGTTCAGTACAGTGCTGGCTTGTGATGCTGTGCAATAAAGGCAGTTACTTTCCATAAGTTTTGATTGTGTGTTAGATTATGAAGGTTTAGATCAGGGTTAACGTTATCATTCATCTTCTAGGTTTAAATAGTGGTTGTTTATATCCTGTATTATGTGGTGAGTTCTAATACTGATTTCTGTAGTGGTGGGAAGTTTGGACAAGTATATAGCTAGAGCACTTTGGTCATATAGAGTATAGTCACTAATAAACATAATGAAGTTGATATTGTCTGTGTTGTTCTACAATGAGCTAAAGTACAACTAGGTATTAACTAATACTATAAAAATACAAATTACAAATAGCACCAGACTCACTCTTATAATTGCACTAAGGTCTAATATAATGAATTTGGTGTTGTCTAAGTATTGAGCTAGAATGAGCTAAAGTACAACTAGGTATAAACTAATAATATAAGAATACAAGTTAAAATGGTACAAGACTCTCACTTGCAATTGCACTAAGGTCTAATATAAGTTGTTAACAAGAACAAGAGTATAACTAAATTGAAATTGACAAGATAAAGTACACAAATTAATGTTTCAAAAGAATAAAATAGAAAAATAAAAATGGCAATGACTTGGTTATAATATGATAGTAAGATGGTACAAAGTATAATATAAAGGTTGGAGGTGAATATACAAACTTGAAAATTTGGCAACAAAAGGTTAAGAAAAGTATAAAATAATGATTAATGTATAAAAGTAAAATTGACTGGTAGTAAATATGGTGTTTAATAAAATTTTATAAAGTAACAATATTTACAAAAAATATTAATAAAAATAAAATGAAAAAAGGAATGTTTATTTCAAGTACTAAATTTTAAGAACAGTTATTTGGATTTAACATTGCACTGGTAGTTATACTAGAGCTTAATTGGCAGTACAAGATATTTAAGAGTAAGGAACTACTCTAAGATAGTAAATGTGGTATTAAAACAGGTTATAGTAATTAAACAAGTACTCTAAGATAGTAAATGTGGTATTAAAACAAGTTATGGTAATTAAACAAGTAATGGTAATTAAAATAATGCTAAAAATGTTGAGAGTAAATTGTACTGATAGTAAAAAATGGTATTTGATAATTAATTTGGTAAGTAATAGCAATTAATAGTATTTAAAGAAATATGAGGTTGATTACAACCTCAGAGAAAGTATTAATGAAGCAAATATTTAAGCAGTCCTATGACATAGGAGCATTGGTGGCTC